TGTCTTGGTTGCTCTGCATTTGAAGAACATGTTCTCAGACTAGTGTTCACTATGTCTGGGAATTGGTAACCCTTGGAGAGAGAGTCCCTCCATAGATTCAAGGCCTCAGAATGAAGAAGAAACACGGTTACTATACCTATATAGACATTAAGCTATTTTCTTTTGGGCCTTAATAACATCTTTTTTCTTTTTGAGGCTTTTTTTTTTTTTTTTTTTTTTGAGAGGTTTTTGCTATAGAGCACATGTGCTCACCAGGAAGACAGAGACAGAGAAACAGAAAGCAAGAAATCATCCCCCAGGAGGGATGTCTACACTGCAGTCCCTTCTCCTCCATTTTCCTCTCAGGATCTCGGGCATGCTCGCACAGGTGCCCAGTGTGAGTTTAAGCCACCGGGTCCAGGACCCGAACCGCGGTCGGCTACGTGGGAGTGCAGTGACATAGCCATTATGCTAACTGCTGGTCCCCAAGAGAGATTTTTTGCTATAGGGTGCGTGTGCTTGCTAGAGAGACAGAGAGACAGAAAGTGAGAAATCAGCCCCTGGGGGGATGACCATGCCACAATCCCTTCTCCATTCTCCTTTTGGGATCTTGGGCATGCACACACACATGCGTGGCATGAGTTTAAGCCACTGGGTCCGGGACTCGAACCGTGGTTGACTGCGTGGGAGTCCAGCGACATAGCCATTATGCCATCTGCTGGTCCTGAGCCCTAATAACATCTTAAGCAAATTTTCAGGTCAGTGCTTTACAACTCTGCCAAGGATAGTCATGCTTCGGTATCTACAGGGGACTGGTCCCAGGACCCCCTGTGGATATCAAAATCCAAAGATACTCAAGTTACTTATATAAAGTGGCATAGTATTTGCATGTAACCTATGCATACCTTCCTGTACACTTTAAATAGTCTCTAGATTAGTTATAATACAGAATATAATGTAAATGTGATCTAAGCAGTTATTAGACTATAGATTTTTTATTTGTATTTGTTTTAGTTGTACTGTTGTTTTTAAAAAATATTTTCAATATACAGTTGGTTGAATTCACAGATGTAGATTCTGTGGATCTGGAGGCTGACTGTATGCTGTGAGCTGCTTAGTCCAGCTATATTGTTCAGTCAGCGGCTCACCTTGATTTTTTAAAAAAAGTATGTATTAAATGCAAAATTGAAGACCTTTGGCTGGGGGGTGAGGTGGGTGTCAGAGGATTTGTGGAAATAAATGACAGGGACAGACATTATCTATAAGGGAAAACACCCTGAGCTGCCTCCCAGATATGCTAAAATGACATGTATATTTGATGTTAGGGAGCTACTCAGTTCTGGAAAAGTTGAGAAGTTTTTTAACTAGCTTTGGACGTGTTTTAGACATGCTGGTGGGATGTCGGTGTGATGTGTGTATAATTGGGGTTCTATGTATTTGAACAGTTGTGCGTCCAAATAAATATGGTGGTGGCTGAAGAGAAGCAGTACTGACAAGTTTCAGGCATGCCAAAGGTGTAAAAATAAGGGGAGAGGGTGACATTTTATTCTGAGTAACTACAGAATGAACATTAGAGGAGAATATTGCTTATGCAGTATTCAACCCTTAAGTATTATGCTTATTCAAAACTCTTGTAAAGCTTTTTTTTATTCTTTTTTTTTTTTAAGTGAGACTCTCCCTTAGTGGGGATGGTCATTCCTCAGTCTCTTCTCTATTCTCCTCCCAGGACTTTGGGCATGCATGCTCATGTGCCCGGTGTGTCATTTAAGCTACCAGTCCTGTTGCCTTCACGTCCATGCCACTTGCTGGCCCTGAAACTTTCTTTTGAGAAATTATTTAGGAGGTAATTACTGCTTGGGCCAGTTTCACAGTCCAGCTTTATAACAAACTGCTGATGTGTTCAGCTTCATGAAGTGCAGCTGGTTCATTAGCTCATCTCTTATCTTTAGAAACTTTTGCCATCTCCTTCCTTTTCCCCTTCTACTGCTCTGTGCTTCTTAATGGAAATCATCTTTTTTGTTGCTGAATTTCTATTTTATTCTCATGGAATGGGTCATTGTTGATCAAGTTTTAGTAGTTTTCTTTTCTACACTTTATGCTTCTGTTAAGTTTAGTAATTATTTTTCTTTTTCCTCTCCTTATGAGGAATTCTCATTTTCTAATTTATTTTATTGTGACTCGTTACCATTCTGTTACTCTAATTTATTCTCCCAGAAAGAAATCCAACTTGCAATAAATGCATAATACTTTGGCTTAGAGATCTCAGTATCTAGAATTTTCATATTTTAGCATCCCTAACTTGGATATGTAGCGCTTTCTTTAATAATTTTTATAGAAATATTGCTTTCTATTTTCCAAAGTTAGGCTTTTCCTCAACCAGCTAATTGCAATTATACTAACATTATAGCAATCAGTATATAAGCCACGATGGCATTAATAGAGTCAGGCACAGTTTTTTGAATGTTACTGTACGCCAGGCACTGTTGTAAGTGATTTATCTACGTAGTACGCCATTGAATCCTTACTCTGTGCGGTGGGTACATCCCCACTTCCCCATGGGGAATGTTATTGTCCCATTTTATGGGGAGGAAGCTGAGGCATAGAGTGTTGTAATGACGCGCCAGGCGCTGTGCACCCGTCAGTGAATGAAATAGTATGTGAACCTGAAAGTGCAGTCTGTCCTCAGCCCGTCCTCACAGATGTGAGGCAGAGTAGTGGTGGGCAGGGGTGGGGTGGGGTGGAGGTTGGAATCCCAGCAGCACTTGTTATTGATCCCTGCTGCCCACTTTGCCCTCCTCCTCTTCATTCTCTGTATGTCTTCACCACAGACGTTTTGCGAGCCAGTCCTTCCAGATACTTCAGGTTTCAGCTCAGCAGTTACATCCACAGAGAAGCTGCCCCTGACTCCTTCCCCAGATGGTTTCGTCACTCCTGAGTCTTTCCTTATAGAAAATACAGTGAGAGGTGTATTAACCTGTGTGATTAGTCAGTATCTCTCTTCTTCGTCAGGATATATTCTGTAATAAGTTCCACAGTGGGAAGGACCTGTCCGCTGTCACTCACCACTGGGTCCACCATTGTGTCACCTAGTACGCTACAAGGTATGTGGTAGGTGCTTAGTAAATGCCAGATGTCTTCACATGGTTCATGGAGAATGTGTATTAGGAAAAACAGTGCTCCATGGATTTAATTTTTTTTTTGTCCCCAAATAAACTCATAACTTTAGTTCCATTTTCCACATACTTTTTGAAGTACCCTTGCATTTATTGTATAAATGAACTAAAGGTTATGAAGTAAGAAGGAAGAAAAGCAAAGATTTATTATGTTTACCACCACATTATAGATTCTTAAAGGATAGTAAACCATTTAATGATTGTACTAATTGGCAGTAAGTTTTATACTTCAAATAACAGAAAACCCAACTGTAGTGACTTAAACAACTAGGGTATTATTTACTTCACTCGGTAAGGACTCCAAATTGGCATTTTAGGACTGGTTTAACTGTGAACCTGTTATCAAGGTAGTAGACCTTTCTGTTCCTACAAATTGGGTAATATGGTAATCTTGCCCAAATGAAAATGTATCGGTCATTGGCTTTTCTAATGTTGTATGGGGAGTAGGATTGGTGTATGTAGTGGGTGTGAAACTGGATTCTTCTTAAACAGAATGTTGAAATTTTACTTATTTTAATGTACTTTTCAGGAAGTGAGGCTAAAGGGATTTCCAAGATGTTGGGAGTTTTTCCTGAAGTATCTGATGGTCTTTGACTGTCACATTTGAGTCTGAGGCATTAGTAGCTGATTAGACATTGTGTGCTTTGGAGGATTCTTGACAGGTGTTACTGCAGGGTGACTTGGCTGGCAGTTTCAGTAGGGGGAAATCACTTTCCCCAATGTATTTAATTTCTTATTTGTAGATCTTTTCCAGTATTCCCCTGGGAGGAGTGTCCCAGTGTCTGTGGGTGGGGGTTAAAAAATCAGGTTGCAGTGTTCTGGGAGTCAAATGGAGAAGGAACTGAGCTAGAGGGCAAGAGGTTCAGTTTTACTACTCAGTATAGACAGATTTTACACTTTTTTTTTCTAAAGTATGTCTCCTGCATCTATCTTCAGCTACACCTGATGTCCTCAGGTCCAGATTCTCTACCTTTTCCAGAGAGTGACATGGGCCAGATGGAGTGGAGTAGAGGCAGACCTGAAAGGGAGGAGTTCTTAAATAGATTTTTAAAAGCTAATGCTCCTGTTTTCTTACTCCATTCCCGTTTCGCAGATTCCTGGCACCTCCTATTCGTGAGGTTTCTGTCAGAAAAGCAGTGAAGGTTCTGTGTATCAAATGGACTGTTCCCTTCTTTTAGCTCCCCATTTTTCCCTATTCTTATCTTTTCTTTGAGAGATTTTTTGGTTACAGGGTGTGTGTGCTCGCCAGAAAGAGAGACCGCCAAGTTTCTCATTCTCTGGGGCAGGGGAGGAGGGTGGCTATACTGAAATTCCTTCTCCACCATTCTTCATGAGATTTGGGGCACTCATGCATACATGCCCAGCATGAGTTTTAAGCTGCTAAGGACTCAAACCGCAGTCATCCACGTGGGAGTCCAGTACCCCAACCACCACACCACCTGCTGGCCCCTCTTTATCTTTTTTCTTTTTTAATCTGGTTAAGTTTTATCCACAGTTTCATGGCTGTTGTCCTCTCTTCTGCTCTTGGTACTCATGGGCTTTTTACCTTTTCTCTCTAATCATTTCGGTGGAACAGGAAGGAGGTAAAAATGCATGCATTTGGTCTCTCATGCTTAACTACAATAGAAGTCTTTGCATATATTATTTTTGAATAATAGTAGGACTATACTGTGTGTGCATGTGTATCTTTGATATCAACAAAATTCATTAAAGTAATTCAGCATTTGTTACATTTTAGCTAATTCTATTATAGGAATGATAGGATAATGAAAATTTCTGGGAAATGAAAACTCTAGATTTGTTAAAATATGAATATGACTTTGAAAAAAATGTCTTTTTAATTTTCAGATTGTGAGCCATGCCTTTAGTAAAGAGAAACATCGAACCCCGGCACCTATGCCGGGGAGCGCTGCCCGAAGGGATTACCAGTGAGCTGGAATGCGTAACCAACAGTACTCTTGCTGCTATCATACGCCAGCTAAGCAGTCTGAGTAAGTCATCTTTTATTCTCATTGCCAGTGATGTTTTATTACGTTTACATTAGCAAATTGATTTAATTCAATAATTAAGTGATTGTTCACAGAAGCAACTACAACTTTAAAAGAAATAGCCTATATCCCTCTACATTTTCTGGTGTAAAAGTAACTGTTTTACCTGCCCTGGAGTTGGGATGACTAATGTTTTGTGATGAAGATGTACTGCTAAGATTACCAACTGACAAATTATTAGATAAAGCCAAATATGCAGATTTAAAATAGTATTAATTTTTTTAAAAGCTTAGATTTTTCTCTTTTTTTCTTTTTGCTATAGGGTGCATGTGCTCACCAGACAGAGAAAGAAAGAGAGAGAGGGAAAGTGAGAAGTCAGCCTCTGGGAGGATAGCCACATTGAGTCCCTTCTCCTCCAGTCTCATTTTGGGATTTTGGACATGTTATGCACATGTGCCCAGCATGAGTTTCAGACTGCCAAATCTGGGGCCCAAACCACAGTCGGCCATGTAGAAATCCAGCAACATAATCATTATTGCCATCTGCTGATTCCAGTGCCCACTGTGATTTTCAAACCATCGACTCCAGTACTCAAACCACATGGTTGGCCACGTGAGAGCCAATGCCTCAGCCTCCTGGTCATCTGCTGGCCCAATAGTATTAATTTTTTAATATGGCTTTTTCAGAAGTTTTTTTTATTTTTTCCATGAGAGGGAGAAACAGAGACATACAAAGAGAGAATGTGCTATACCCCAACAGAGTCTTTATACTGAGATCCACCCCTCAGCCTTACCCAGCCTGGATTACAGGCATAAGCACACATGCCATGTATAGGGAGCCCTCAAGACGTGAGCCTAAGGCCTCCACATCCGGCTTCAGCATTGCATCACTGCTGTGCCACCACAGCTGGTCAAATTTTAAAAGCATTTTAAAATGAAGACAAGCTAATTGGTAGTTTTTTTGTTTTGTTTTGTTTTTTAATATAGTGGAATTGTTTTGTTGAACTTGAATAGGACCAATTTTTTTTTTAATGTAAATGTTGAAAGCTAGTTAACACCTGTAATATGCCTGACACATAGCAGGTGCTCAGTAAGTATGTATTGACTTAATAATATTTCAAATAAATCATAGAATAAAGCCAAAAAGCAGTAAGATTGCTGATTTTAACCTACTTAAAATTGAAATGCAGGTATTTTCTTCTACACTGAGATAAACTGATAAGCTGATGATTACCTGTACACAATGCCATATATGTATTTGTATGCACAGATTTTGCCAAGTGCAAGTATGAAGAAGAGAAAACTTGCTATTATTCTTATTTTGAATGTTAATATTTAATATCTGAGGAATATTTCATTTTTTAGGACTCAAATATGCATGAAAATGCTTTCTCCTTCAAAGCTGTTTGAAGTTGGGATTTTTTCCTCTAACTTTTACATTTACATCGTGATCTTGTTTTCTCACTTCATCCCACTCCTTTTTGGTTTAGATGGTTTATATGGCATTTTTGGTGACAGGTTTTCACAGTTAAATTTTTCAGAAACTCTGTTAATAACTAGAAAATCTTCCATGAAATCCTATATACTGGTAGCCTCAAGCACAAGAGACTATTTTTTTTTAACTGAAGTACTTTTTATTTATTTTGAAGAAGAAATGCTTCAGATAAATGTTTGCTTCTTTAAAAGGATTATACTCTATTATTATTATTATATTTTTAATATAGTCATTGGCTAAGACAAAAGTAACTGGAAAATTATTTAAGATGTCTCAAAGAATAGATTTTCTGGAAGCTAAACTAATATCAACTGATTTTTGATAGTGGTTATTGATATACACAAGTTCGAGTCATTACAGGAGGAGTCCTTGTAAGGTACTGAAGAGTAGAAGTGTCTCCAAATGTATTCATATATTTTTATAGGAATACTTCAGTGTCTTTATTTTATGGATGAAATGTCTGCTGGCACAAGGCATAAATGGTGGAAATCCACATAAACTATTAATGTTTCAGCGATCAATCTGCATCTCATGGTGCGCATTTCAGTGTACTGTCCTATCAGTTGTGTTTATGATGCCCAACATGGCACCATCTCTTGTGAGTGACTCACCCACTGTGTTTTGTTCTGCATGTCCTCTGCGGTAGACAGGATAATAATGGCCCTTCCAGTTATATCCCCATCCTCTCTCTTGGAACCTATGTATGTGTTATGTGACATGCAGGGGGGATTAAAGTTGCTAACTAGCCGACCTTAAGAGGAAGAGATGATCTTGGGTTATCCTGTTGAGTGTAATGTAATCACAGAGGTCATTAAATGTGGAAGAGAGGTAGAAGATGAGTGTCAGAGTGAGGTGATGTAAGAAAGACTCTACAGGCTGTTGTTGGCTTTAAAAATTGAGGAAAGAGCCACTTCTCTTGGAGTGCTGGCAGCCTATAGAAGATGGAGATGGCAAGGAAATGGATTCTCCTCAAGAGCTCAAGAAAGAACACAGCCCTACCAATGCCTTGATTTTAGCCCAGTGATAAATACATTTTAAACTTCTGACCTCCAGAATTGTAAAATAATAATTTGTACTGTTTTAAGCCTCTGTGTTTGGGGTTATTTGATACAGCAGTGATAGAAAACTATTTCACCACTCTCTCCTCAGTCTATTTTGTGCCACATAATCCACTCCAGCTCATACTGGACCAGGGATGGGCTGCTGCCTCAGGGAGAATCCATCCTTAGTTGGAACTCCAGTGGAACTCAGCCCCACCTCTAGCAGAATTGCTTGGGCAGCTTTAAAACAAAATGCTAGGAATCACCCTAGAGATTGTGATTGGAGCATGCGTCAGAGACTTGACATTGGAAATAAGATATCTTACCTGTGTATCTGGATTTCAGAATGTTAGAACTAAGAAACACAGTGCACTTGCTAGTTTATTGTGGGACCTACTGCTGAATTGTCACGTGATGATTGCCTGTAGGCTGAAGTTCTGGATAGAGGAAGTTAGCTGGGGAGAAAAAGCAAACAGAAGGATGCATACACAGAAGCAGGAGGTGAACCTGAGAGAAACGATGAGCAAGATGCAGAGAGACCATGAGCAAGGTACAGAGAGAAGATCCCCAGGCCAGCTCAGGACAGATTGCCAGCTCTCACTTAAGATGCAGTGTTAGGGTGTCCTCAGAGTGAACGCTCTTTTTCTTCAAATCCCTGGAGTGCATTTGCGGTTGCACCCCCAAGAACCTTATAAAAAGAAGAGCATGATGATACATATGTCAAGGGTGTAGTTTTAGAAAACCAAGATAACTGACTGCAATGGACTGAGTTTTTAAAAATTTATTATCTTTTTTTTTTTTTGAGAAAGACACACACAGACACACACATACACAATACACACACACACACACACACACACTTCCAATAGGGTCTTTATGCCACAATTCACTCCCAGTCTCAGCCAGCCAGGATCATGGGTGTGTGTGCGTCCTTGGCATGCTGAGTGAAGTCCTGGGATACAAACAGATTCCCTGTGAGTCCGGTTGTGTTATCATGTGCCACTGCTAGGTTCCAGGACAGAAAGTTTGTGCCTGTGTGAGCTTCATATGTTGAAGTCCTAATCCCCACTGTGATGGTATTAAGAGAAGGGGCCTGTAGAAGATGATGGGTAATGAGTGAAGCCCTCTTGAGTGGGAGTGATACCCTTATAAAAGAGCTAGCTTGTTCCCAATTCTGTGTGAGGACATGTCAAGAAGGCACTGTCTGTGAACCAGAAAGCAGATCCTCAGCAGATACTAACCTTGTGTTGTCTTGATCTTGGACTCCCCAGCCTCTAAACTGTGGGGAAGTTGTGTTGTTTATAAGCCACACAGACCATGGTATTCTCTTATAGTAGCCTACACTAATATACCGAGTTGTTAATTGGTGGTAAAATAGCAAATTAGATTATCAGTACTTTACTTTTAGTGTTTATTCACTCAGTACCCTTTTAGGTGCAACATACAGCAAATAACATTGAGTTGGTCTCTACTTAGAAGTTAAAAACATTTGTAATTTGTTTATAATTTATAAGTAGCACCAACATAGTCATAAAATAGGAACAGATAGTTATTATAACCCGCTACAAAATAACACTAACACATAATAAATGATATCTACTTTTTTGGTGAGTTTCCCACTAAATATTAACACATTATAAGAGATAAAGTTATATGTATGTTTTTTGTGATGTACAAGTGTTAGAAAAAGAATTTGAAAGAAAGTTTTTATGTTTTTTGCTAATTTTATAGTCATTCGACAGAGGTAGGGGTGTGTGTGGGTGTGTGTGTGTATGTTTTTTCAGTTGCCAGAGGGCAGTTGCGCTTTCCAGAGAAGTGAAAAAGAAAGCATATCCCAGAGGGTTGTGGTCACGCTGCAGTCCTTTTCCCCGCATTTCTCTGTCCAGTCAGAATTTTGAGCATGCACAAACATTCACATGATATGGTTTTAAAGCTGCTACGCCAGGATTTGAATTGTAGTTGACTCTGTAGGTCCTGGCTTTCTATGCACAAAACTTAGCAACTGTGCTATGGTGCCAGCCTTATATATATATTTTTGAAACAGGATCTCTCTGTGTTGCCCAGGTTGTTCTTAGAACTGATTCTTGTGCCTCTGCCTCTCATGGAGCTGTAACTGTGTACACGTCGTGACACACAACCATTCACTGAGTGTTTTTAAAGTGAAGATTTAGGAATGCAGGCATCTGTCAGAACAGAATCTTCTTTGGGTACCTGATCATAGTTCAGTAGGTCTGCATTAGAATGGACCATCTTAATCTTTCCTGCCTTTCCTCCTACATCATCAGCAATTCCTACCCCTGCATATCTCCACTCCCCACATTAGAAAGTCTTTTTCAGGTGCAAGTTGGAATAGATGGTGGACAGTTCTCTGAATTTCCTGTAATTTATACGAGAGACTAGCTGTTGTCTTCACATGCCATTTTGGGGAATCACAGGGTTTGCCTTGATCCTAGCCTGGTCATACCTGCT